CCGCTCTGAGGAACGAGTTTAAGCTATGGAGCCTCAAAAATGGACCCAAACACAAACGCACAAACTTACATGAAGTTTCTTTTCTTTTCTTTTCCTTTTTTTGTGGGGAGAGTTCTTTATTTTTTTAAATTGAAGTATAGTTGATTTACAATATTAGTTTCAGGTGAAAAAACATACCAATTCAAAAGTTGTATAGCTTGTACTCCATTTAAAAAAAATTGTATTGGAGTATAGTTGATTTACAATGTTGTGTTAGTTTCTGCTGTATAGCAAAGTGAATCAGTTATATATGTCCACTCTTTCTTTAGATTCATTTCCCATATAGGTAATTACAGAGTATTGAGTAGAGTTCCCTGTGCTGTACAGCAGGTTCTCTTTAGTTATCTATTTTATATATAGTAGTGTGTATATGTCAATCCCAATCTCCCAATTTATCTTTCCTCTCCCCTTTCCCCCCGGTAAGTTTGTTTTCTACATCTGTGACTCTATTTCTGTCTTGTAAATAAGTTCATTTGTACCGTTTTTTAGATTCCACATATATGTGATATCATATGATATTTGTCTTTGACTTCACTTAGTATGATAATCTCTAGGTCCATCCATATTGCTGCAAATGGCATTATTTCATTCTTTTTTATGGCTGGGTAATATTCCATTGTATGTATATACTGCATCATCTTTATCCATTCTTCTGTCGGTGGACATTTAGGTTGCTTCCATGTCTTGGCTATTATTGTAAACAGTGCTGCAATGAACGTTGGGGTGCACGAATCTCTTCTAATTATGATTTTCTCCAGGTATATGCCTAGGAGTGGGATTGCTGGATCATATGGCAGTTCTACTTTTAGTTTTTAAAGGAACCTCCGTACTGTTCCATGAAGTTTATTTTCTAACACTGGAGATTGATTTACTTCATATATATGACTATGTAAATACTACTTTCAAAGAAGTGTGGCGTTATCATTTTTTTCTTGCAAAAATTAGTAGCCACTTCCTGGAAAAAATAAAAATATTCAGTATGCAAATGAAAACCTTTAGTTCAGTTCTCCAATAGTATTTTATTTGAATTCATGTCTTGCCATTTCCTTTTACCTCAAGTCATCAAATACTGTTTAATAATCTACATTTCAATTTAATGAAGTCTGAGCTTTTGAAATTTATGGATTTGGTTTTTTGGTAATAGGAAATCTGTGAAAGTTTTTGAACGCTAAAGAGTTTGCAGAGTGGATTTCTAAGGAGGTAAAGCAAAACATTAAGGCCATTCTAATAGTCGAGGCCAGTTATCAAGGGACTGAAATGGTACAAGTGAAAGAGACACTTGTGTTAGAAATCAAGAACTAACTAACTGAACGCAGCATAAAGAAGTTTAAAAAAAAGAAAGTTTTAATTCCATACAGAAGCATGTGAATATTATTAGTTGGCCGGGGAAGCACAGGACACCATGTAGACTTGCTAGAACTCTGGACTTGCAAGCCTTCTTAAGCCACCTCAACCATTAGCAGTCTGTGCCAGGGTATTTACTTGCTTCATGGGACCAAACTTGTTTTTTCAACATGATAATTAGCTGATCAAGTAACCTGCTAGTATGGAGCCATGAGACCCTTTTCTGCATGGTCTTGCTGAGCCTCTGAAAAGTAAGGATAATAATACAACACTATTTCAGTGTGCCTCAGTGTGGTTTGAGTATCACTACAGCAGCACCACTTGTTGAATCAGAATATCTGATGATGAGGTCCAGGGTTCTGTATTCTTAACATGTCTCACCAGTGATTTTGTTTTTAATTAGGCTTAATTCACTTTATTCTTCTCATATAAAAATACTCTGTGGTGGCCATAGCTGGAGCCTGGGTCCTCTGGGTCCTCTGCACTTTGCTGGAACATCAGTGAATTCCTGATAGGGAGAATTGGTGAACAGGATCTCTTTCTAGAGGTGGTGAGGTGAGATAACTATAGATCTTGGAGATGGCATCAAAGCTGGCCTTGGTGAAGTTGCCTAGGATTTCAGTGCAGCCTCTGACCTATGTGGCAGTAGTCCATAGCAGTCATCCTCAGCAGCTTCTGGGGCCCAGGGGTTGAGATGATGGCAGTGCCTCTGCGGGCAGGAATGGTGAAACCGAGCAGGACAATAAACCTTTCTCTGCTCCAAACTCCAATGTTTTGGGTTTGTTTGGCTTCACTGTGCGTCGGGCACACAAACTTACATTCCGTAACAACCATATGAGATGCCTTATAACAACACACCCCATTTTGGTTGGAATGCTCCTGGTTCGAGAACTGTCTTTTTGGTATGTGCACAATAAACTTTTACTAATTACTGCTTTGGTGATTAACTGGTTTTACTTTGGCTGTTTCTGAACTTTTGACAAATCCAGTCTAGGATTTTTGTTCCCATGTCTCTCTAGTATTCTTTAACCTGGCACAGTTCCTTCTGACTTTATCATTTGTAGCGTTGACATTGTTTGGAGTAAAAGCCAGGTATTTTGTAGGAATCACTTAGTTTGGGTTTTTTGAGGTTTCCCCACAGGAGAATTGGTACTTCCGTAACATGATGTCCCTCTCAGTACATCGCATCAGACTGCCCTTCATGCTAGATTATCCCGTTCTTGGTGAGGTAAATTTGAACCACCTTAGTTTTAATTTCTTAATTTCATTAAGGTGGTGTCCACCAGCTTCGTCTGTTGTAAAGTTACTATGTTTCCTTTTGTGAAATAAGAACAAATATGCTTCTGAATGTAGAATGATCTGGGCTAAAATGAAATGAAAGGTTAAACAAACTACCGAGATAATTCAGGCAAATTACCCAGAATTTCACAAATTCTTTGAGCCATTTATATCTCTCTGGCAGGAATAAGTCACATCTTTTACCTGAGAGTTCTACAAGGCATGCTATTATTAACTGAAAGGTCAATTAGGGCCAGAATAGTCAGGGCCCTATCTAGTTGATGCATATATCTTGAACTTGGATCTAGAAGAGCGTAAAACAAAATTAGGAACTATTCAGTTATTATTGGCCAATATTATTATTATTATTAAATATCACACCAGGGAGGGAATTCTGTGGCGGTCCAGTGGTTAGGTCTCCATGCTTTCACTGCCAAGGCCCAGGGTTCAGTCCCTGGTCAGGGAACTAAGATCCCACAAGCCACACAGAGTGGCAAAAAAAAATTACACCAGGGAATTTAGATTTGATATGGTAAGAGATAAAAGTACTCTTTTGTTCTTAAAGCCTAGGAGAGTGAAATTCATTCATTCATTCATTCATTCATTCTCATCTCTTAAATACCTATTGAGTTCCTCCTAAAATTGAGGATACAATGTCATACAAAATCCCTACTTTCAAAGGGATTGAAATATAGTTATGAAAATGAGACTTGTATGAGGTGATTTAAAATACAAGACAGAGTATGATAAACGTAGGAGAAGCTCCAGGGAGGGAAGTGACACTTCGGGTGACCAACTTGATTTACTTCTTTTTCCCACTTTATTTTTAGGGAATAGTGGAAAAAACATGGGCTATAGAGTTCCACAGACCAAGACCAAGGTTGGAAACCTCTCTCTGAATTACTAAATCTCTCCATGTCTCTGTTCCCTTATTTGTAAAATGGAGATATTAACAGGATCTACCTCACAGGGTTATTGTGAGGCTAAAACAAGGCAAAATATGTAAAGCATCCAGTCTGGCAGCAACAGGAGCCCAGTATATAGTAACATCATTACTACTATTCAATATTTTTCCTTACCTTAATTCTTAGGAGAGGCCATATGCTTCCCGAATTGCCAGGGAAACAAATAAAACCCATAGAACCTGACCCATCGTACAGATTTAGTTAGCTGTCATTTATTCCAAAAAGGATTTGCAGCAATTGCTCATTCTAGGTCCCCATATTTATGCCAATATCTTTATTGGACACGTCAGATCATCCTTGTGTTGTGGTTTTCCCCCAGGGTGAGGAAGGGTTACCAGTGTTAGCTTTTTTTTTTTTTTTCCGCAGTATGCAGGCCTCTCACTGTTGTGGCCTCTCCCGTTGCGGAGCACAGGCTCCAGACACGCAGGCGCAGCGGCCATGGCTCGCGGGCCCAGCCGCTCCCCGGCATGTGGGATC